CCTTATTAGGTAGACAATATTTTTTTATGTTTGGGCTGTAAAGGAGATTTTTATCCTAGATCAGGCCATTGTTAACGGCATTTTCCATTCTTTTGAGAGGTTACAAAAAGACTACAGCCTGTTTCAAACTGTTGAATAGCCGCATATTTAAGCAGAGCATGTTCTGGTGGCCTTGGAACCGCCTGTAATTTTGAGTGGGTTGATGAAGGCTGTATCCTCTCTTATCTGATCATCCCCGTGCAGGATCTCTTCCCCCCCCCCTCAGGTGATCCCCACATACCATTACAGAACTGAGAATCAATGACTAAAGATTAGGACTCTTTAAATGGAGGTAAGTGAGCCTGTTTCCTCTTCCTGTCTTGGTGCAGCCCTGCCAGTTCACCTGTCTCCACCATCCAGACCCCCGGCCAGCCCTGTGGAAGCTCTGTGCATTCCACAAGTCCTTCAACATGGAGTCTCCCCTCCCTGGCTTTGTCTTTAAGGCAGGCCCTTTGGAATGCAGCTGCGCAGTTGGGGCAGGAGATTAAATTAATTTGTAACCCTTTCCCCCCCATTTGGAGGGGGTTTAGTAAATCCTTCCCCTTTAATTGAAACCCTATTTCAAGGTGGCTTGTGCTGCTGCTCTCTTCCCAATTTAACCTCCAAAGCGCTTAAACGTGGGTAAATTGCAGTTATATCCTCACGGATTCTTTTTAGAATTGTGCCATAAGGGGATGGTGGAATTGGTGGAGATAAAAAGGGGAAATTACATGGCTTCTCTTTGCAGTATTTAATATTTATCAGGGGGACAACATTTTGTCAGAGGACTGCTAAGGTGATTTTAACATTGTATTTGGAAATCTACCAATTGATCTTGGGAATGAAATTTCTATGCCGTGGTTTCAGGTAATCCAGTTGTTATGTTTGGGTTTTAAAGAGAGATAGAAAAAAAACCTCTTTCCAATGTCTGGCTGCTCCAAACTTGCCGCTTTTTTCCTCTAAATTGAGAGTTTAACGGCAGTGCACAATCTAAATGCAAAATCTTGAGATGGAAATTTAATTGTGTAAAATGTGCACAAAGTAATTAAGAACAAATTTTAGAACATTTCAGACTATAAAGTACTTCTTTAGCTCGATCACAAGCAGTATTGTAAGTGCTTATTTTCAATTTGCAGTTATGCTGAGAAACATGGAATGTGACTAAATAAAGCCATCCTCTGTTTTTCAGAATAACTGTAAATTAAAAAACCAAACTTGCAAGTCTCACAGAGCAATCTAGGAGTGTAGAGGGTGGGGGAGGCTTCATGGCACCATTGTCCTTAAAAACAGCATTGCAAAGTGCATCACAGGCTCAAATCCTAATAGTCCTTAATTTTGTGAATAATTGTACTTGATCTCAGACTGACAACTTTAGGGAAATAAAAACTGGGATTCTACCTGTTGGGACACCTAGTCCAGCCCAAACCGTGAACTAAAGAGGCCTGCCTGAGAGACCAGAAGTGGACAAGCAGTGCTCCCTATAAAGCTCCATATCAAGTTTTCTTAAAAGATCTAGCAACTTTGCTTTGTATCATATTTGTCTAACCCGTTCCATCTAAAGTCCTTTCGGATGGCTTCGAATTATGGAAGCAATGCATCTGGAAGGCACCAGGCAGGGAAACCTGCGTTAGACCGTTGGTCCTCCTAGACCGGTCTTTTTCCATACTGCTCCTGGCTTCAAACACACACCCTCCCCTATCCAACTACATGCAACATTTACATTAAGGCCTTCCCTCTGCTGGGCTCACCATGTGCAGGGAGGCCCCTTGGCTCTGGGGCTACTTCCGTCCTTGTGCACTCTCCCATATCTAGCAGCAGTCAGCCCCAGTGTACTTCTACAGCCACTTGCACACCTCCCCGAGCCCCACTGTACTCGCACTGGGACATCAGTTGGCATCAATTCTTAGCTATTACATAGATGTTCACAAATAGATCTGTCCGCAGCACTGTCTTTCAGGTCTTCCAATGATGCATTCGTCACCACTGGGACTGAGTCCATCCACCTTGCTGCTGGTTGTCCTCTTTCCTAGCATCTTTCCTAGCATTAAACCATCTCTGGGCAACTAGATTCTTTGCACAAGGTTTCTGACGTAGGATAATTTGAGCCTGGTCATTTAGCCTTGACTGAGACCATAAAATAATAGTGTTGAAAAGGACCTTGGAGTCCCCTTGTCCAACCCCTTGCTTAAGCAGGAGATCTTATGTCCTTATGGACATAAGAAAGGTTTTCTAAGAAAGGTTTCCAATTTAACCTGAAGTCTACATGCATCTTTTAATGTAGAAGAATCAGAGATGGTTGTCAAGGGAGAGGTCTCAGGCACATTGATGCCTGTGGAGATCACGTTGAGAGCTTAGAACATGAGAGTTACATACCTTGGTGCTTCCCAGAGACACAGAAATGCCTTCAGTGGATCCTTTGTCTCAGATCTTGCCTCCTTTTCACTTGGGGCTCGGATTTCCAGCTTCCTCATATTGCCTGGGGTTTGGTCTGGTGTCCTTGGTCATGTCTTGCTGGCAGAGGTCACACAGAGGTCTAGAATTTACCAACATCATTTACTTGGTATTTCCCCAAAGACTTTGAGAGGTGATGCTGAGGAAATGCTTGTCATTTGGTCAAATGAAGTTATGGTCCAGCCGCTGCCGCCTATGTTCTGCATTGTCTTGCAAATTGTCAGAGAGCAACCTCTTCCCATCCCCTCAGCCTGTGGTAGGCAAATGTTCTGGAGCAGAGGGCAATAAATTAAAATGATTGGGATTTAAAATAAGATTTTCCTGGATTGGGGAGCAGTTATGCTAAGTGGCTGAGACAGAAGGATTCCAGAGGTAAGGTGGAAAACAAGACTCTTCTCAAACTTATGAAGTGCTATCGAGACTTTTCTGAGTGCCTCACCTTCTGCGCTTCCCTGTTTTCAATTTCCCTTTGAGGAGTATAGATCAGTGCAGGTCCACACTGCTCGTGTTATGCCAAAACAATCCAAAGCCCTAATTTGCTTTTTTGTAAGAGCTTTCCCCCCCCCCCCAATCTTTTGGCTTCCATGCTTTAGCTGTTAGCCTATTTATAAATCTAAATCTACATACAGAGGTCATTGGTTGGCTGAACTTAAAACCATTTTACTCAGTAAATTTAATTAAGAAAATACAGTGCAACTCATAAGCAAATGAGTTTTTCCTAGTTTTAAACCAAACCATCCTCTTGAGTGTTGATTGCCTTGCTCGACCCCTGGTGATACAGAAACAGGCAAAATTAAAAAGGACATTAAAGCTTCATTAAATCTGAAACACATTTAGTACAGTGACATATCTGCAGGCTATTTCGGGGAGATTACAGATTACCTTGACAATCTTGGACTGGGGCAGGGGGGAGCACTGGGCACAGCCCAGTCGAACAAAGGTTCTCGCTGTTCCCTGCGGGGGCCTGGCTTGGACTTCTAAAATACATCGTACTTAGAAGGTGTGTGTTCTCCACAGCAATAATTTCTGTATCAAGAAAACCAATTCTACGCTCAGAATATATTTGCATAACATTTGTGTGATTTGCATAAATTTTCATCTGCACTCGTTTCAGTATTATGCCATTGTCATCCTAAATGTTGCTATCCTGTTGCAGTTTTTTTTCAGAAGACCACTCGGTCCAGGCATCTGCTATGTCCATAACATACTTTTAATAATTTTATGTTGCTAGGCAAAACATTTATTAAATGAGTTTTGCCCCATTTACAACCTTTCTTGCCTCAGTTGTTAAGAGAATCACTGTAATTGTTAAGTTAGTAACGTGATTCTTAAGTGAATCTTGCTTCCCCATTGATTTTGCTTGTCAGAAGGTCGCAAAATGAGATCCCCTGATCCCAGATCATGGCAGCCATCATAAATAGGAACCAGTTGCCAAATTTTGATCATGTGACTATGGAGATGCTGAAATGGTCGTATGTGTGAAAAAGTCACTTTTTTCAGTGCCATTGTAACTTCGAACAGTCACTAAACGAACTGTTGTTAAGTCGAGGAATGTATACAGGTAGTCCTCGGCTTACAACCGTTTATTTAGCGATCCATGTCAAAACATCACTGAAGAAAGTGACTTATGAAAAGGCCTCACACTTTGTCGCAGCCTCCGCATGGTCCCATGATGCCCGGCAGCCGGCCTGTGTCCACGTCAGTTGCAGCCTCCCGGGGTCCCGTGATCGCCACGTGCCACCTGTCCAGCTGGCTTCTGACAGGCAAGGTTAGTGGAGGAAGCTAGATTTGCTTAATTCACTAAGCAACAGCATAGACTCACTTAATAACAAGAGCAAAAAAGGTCGTAAAATTGGATGCGAAATGGAATGGAAATGCCAGTCCCAATTGTGGTTGTCAATCGAGGCCTGCCTGTGCGCCATTTTCTTGGGGTCTGCACCACCCGGGGAAGCGAGGAGGTGCCCCTCTTGGGCTGGTCTCAAGATCCACCCGTGGTAACAAAAAGCACGTGCCGAAGCTTGAAGCGAGGACTTGAATCCATAGCTGTGGGGCTGAATTGAAAGCCAACGGATATGGGAGGAATCCTGCCTTTCAAGGGCAAAAGGCAGAACTGGGCTTCCATGGTGGAGGCTGTCCAAATGCCTTGGCACTTTCTCCATGCTCATTGTGACTGTCGGCTCTCCTCCAAATGGCTGGAATCTCTTAGCAACTGAAATGCAAAGAGAGGCCACGGAATTGAAAAAGGCCCATATTTTGTTTACGAGCGCAGAATTTGGCTGTGCAGACAGGCAGACAAATAGATGTGTTAACAGATCTGCTGCTCATTTATGGATAGCCTTTCAAAATATTGCCATTTTACTTATCTGTTAAGGTTTTTTATTCTGATTCTCTCTCTCTCTCTCTCTCTCACACACACACACACACTTTTTGCCCTCAAAACAATTCTGAATTATGAACCCCTCTCACTCCCCTTCCTTTTGCTCAACCCCTGATGCAGATCTCTCTAACCAAACCATTTTTTTTTCCCCCAGCTTGCTCTCGGGAGGTTCCCTTATCCTCAGGTAAGACGTTCATTGCTGCCTCACTGATTCCTGTGGATGAAGTTGCAACAAGCAATTGTGTCAGTCTTTCCACCTGGTTCATATAAATCTGCCCCATTAAATTAAAAAGCAATCACTTCAGAGTTGTCCAAAACCGTCATGGATCTTGTTCTCCTTTTAAGGTCCAAGATTTATTTTTTATCTCTTACTTAGACTGTTTCCTGGAGCATATAGTGAGTTTGAAGCCGAGCAAATTTGCTTTTCTGCCTTCCTGTCAACATGGTGGCTGAAAGTGATGAGTGTCAAAATCTGGTGTGTTTAGAGCAGTGTCTCTAAACACTGTGTATACAGGTGGTCCTCGACTTACAGCCATTCATTTAGCGGCCATTCCTCACAATTATAATTGTTGGAGCATCCCCAAGTGGCTTGATCAAAATTTGCATGTTTGGCAACGAGTATGTATTTACAGTGTCTGCGGTGTCCCTGGGTCATGTGATCACCATTTGCCACTTTCGGTGAAGGAAGTTGGATTTGCATAACAACTCTGTGATTCGCTTAGTGACCATGGCAAAAAAATGGACATTGCTCACTTAGCAACTGTTTTGCTTAGCAGCAGAAAATCTGGTCCCTTGACTTACGACCATTCACTTAGCGAATGAAGTTATGACACCTCTCCCCCCAAAAGATACTTATGATCTGGTTCCATAGTTCGGCTGGCCATCGCCCCCTCAGCCCCCCAGTCCCGTGACTGCATTTTGGGCACTCGGCAGCCGGCCCACCTTTATGGCCGCTTGGAGCATGCCACAGTTCCATGACTACCATTTGCGACGTTTTTGCTGAGTGCTGGCATTTACTTCTGGCTTTTGGCAAAAGCGTCCAATAGCGAGCAACGGGTTCACTTAACATCCGCAGTGATTCGCTTAACGATTGCTGCAAAGGAGGTCGTAAACTGAGGTCACATGGATAGCCCGCTTTACAACCATCACAATATATAACTGTAATGAGCAGGCTCCATTAGGGTCATAAGTCAAGGAGAGATAGATGGAAGCTGCCATCTGAGGCCATTAATGGCCTAGGCCAGTCTTCCTCAATCTTGGCAACTTTGGCTGGAGAATTCTGGGAGTCGAAGTCGGCACCTCGTAAAGTTGCCAAGGTTGAGGAAGACTGGAATAGGCCAAGCTCAGATCTTGCAGCTCCATTAACCCTAAATGCTACTTACCACTCCATATGGGCAATTTCCTTATTGTTCCAAATCACTTTTTCCTTGACCACCATCTCATTTAAATGAAAAACCAATAACAATTCGCATGAACTCAGTATGGAAACATTCCACATATTTCTTTGAATATTCAGAGCATTTTCTCCACAAAAGGGGAGGGTGCAGCCCCAGGCTGGATTTCATGATTTAGCGGAATCTTTACTGATTTCATTCTCTATAATGTCCATCACAACTAAAACGGGTTGTGCAACCCTCTGACAAGCAAAGTCAATGCGGAAGCCAGATTCGCGTAATAACCGGGTTACTAATTTATCAACTGCAGTGATTCACTTAACCACTGTGGCAAGAAAGGTCATAAAACAAGGCAAAACTCACTTAACTGCCTTGCATAGCAGTGGAGGTTTTGGGCTCAGTGGTAAATCCAGGACTGCCTGTGTTGTAATTTTTGTCTTTCGCGTTTCATTTTTCCCTCCTTTTGCATTTTTTCTTTAAGATTCTATTCCACCATTTCTTTGCTATCAGTGCAACTCTTGTCCCTTGGTGGCACATTGGTGGTGGGGAGTTGGCCTAGACCCCTCCCGAGTGGTGGGCTGCACATTTTTGCATCTGGCTTTGACTGCACAAAACCTCAGTGAACAATTCTAGTTCTTAAGAGTATGAGAAATCCTGTGATACACAGATTAGAATTTAATTACTGAAAGGGGTATGTTTATTCCTTGATCGTCCCCAACCCCAATGAAAACATGCATTGTGTTCATTGGGGACATCAATGCATTTGCCATTTTAGGCAGTTGCAATACTGCAAAGTTGCAGAACTTTGGAGAGGAAGAGGAGGCAGCCGATTCCCTGGTGAAGGGCAGTCACTTTTCCTAACCTCCCCACTGATGCAGGCCAAAGAGCCTGGAGGCATATCTGATTTAAAACTGGTGTTGGTCTGTGCTCTTTAAGCATCTATTAACTTGTTATTATTATGCAAATGAGCCATACTAATTTATGCAGGGTTAGATTATGCAGATGCCTCACCGCTGTGGCTATTGAATAATAGGAAGCGATTTGATCTCTTCCTTGTGCTTAGAAATACTTGGGGTTTTGGGTTTGTTTGTTTTTAAAAAATAGAACTAATTCTCTGATACTTCTCGGGACTTGAAGATTTAGTAGACCAATCCATGCTGGCTCTCAATTTGCTGCTGTTGGGTGGCTCTGTTTAAACCGGAGGTTGTCTGGTGTAGAGGCCTTGTGTAGCTATCACTCACAAATGCCGCACACTGGGTCCAGAAGTGCATGGTGGGGGCAGAGGAAGAATACCAAGCTGCGGGAATACTTACTATAGTGACCAGCAAAGTTGGGAAAAGCTAAGGCGCGAATGAGATCTTTCAAAGGATGCTGAACAGTAACGGGTGCCTGTTCAACAGGTGAGCAATGTCTTTCAACATGACAAAATCAAAAATGTGCAAAAGAAAATGCAGGACGCTTCCTGCTGTTCTGGATAGCCCTGGAAAAGGACTTCCTGATGCTTCTTATAACAATGGGAATTAGTTAACCTCAGCCTGTCTGCGGTTGGACAGTCGTAGGTCATGTTGGATGTTAATTGAGTCATCATGTGACAGCATCAGTTTTATGACTCTTTTTGCAGTGGTCATTAAGTGAACACAGCAGTTGTAAAGTGAACACCGTGGTCATTAAGCAAACCCGTTGTCTGCAGTGGGCATTTTTTGCCCAGAAACTGGAAGTCAATGCCAGTTTCCAACAAAAATAAATAAATAAACCACAGTCATGTGACCACGGGACTCTGTAAATGGTCGTAAGTGTGCCCAAAACGCAGTCACATGACCATGGGGGGGGGGCGGCCTTCAGAGTTCCAAATCCAGGTCATAAGTACTTTTTTCAGAATTTATAATTATAATTTCGAACAGTCACTAAGCGGGCAGTTATAAGTCAAGGACTATCTGTGCAACAATCTTCCCAGTCTGGGAGCGAAAGTCACAGCTGGGCTCAGGATTGCACTCCGGCCATCTCAGGCTTCTCAGCAAGGTGGGCTGCATCACAGGGATGGGTAGCCCTAAAAAAAACCCTTTGGTTTAATGCAGGAATGCAAAGGAGCTCTTAGAAAGAATGTGCGACTTCTCTCTGAGCCACCCTCAGTGCTCAGATTCCTCCACCTCTTCCTCCGTGCCTGCTTGGTGTAAGAGGCTGGAAGTGAATCTCTTTGGGGCAGGAAGCCTCGCTTCCATCTGTTCTTTGTTTTGGTGACAGACCCATCAGCTACCAGGCTGTTTGCTTTTCACGGTGGGAGGACTGACTCAGAGAGAGAGAGGGAGAAAGAGCCTCCAGTGTCGGTGGAGAACGGGGCCCCGGGCAGAGAAGCCTCCCTTAAAAATTCTCTGTATACTTTATTTATGTATAATGCGCTCCTCGTTCCTAGGCATGAAAACAAGATGTCAAAACGTTTATATTAGGATGCTGTTTCTGATGTAGGGTGAATTTTATTGTCCTTTTTTTCGTTTGCAGTTTATTTGCAATTGTCAGTTTGCATTGAGAACATTTAAATATTGTGATAATTAGATGAAACACTGCTACCGCCAGGTGTTTTTTTTTACAAGCAAATGCCACAGTTTGCTAAATGCAGCAAATTGCTGATATGTTTGATGCTTTTCTTACCTATAATTGTGATCCGTGTCACACATTTGTTGGCAAGGGTGAAAAAAGTTCTGAACAGATGGCAGTTTTAGCCACTCTAAATTCTGGACTCGAAATATTTGTTCCCCAAGAACAGATTTAGAAGAATCCTTCTATCCTGACAGAAATATAAATATGTTCTACATGTTAAGTGAACCATCCATGGAATCATCCTTTTGAAATTAGTTTCACTTTTCTACGTTGTCCCCCAAATCTCTGGTTGTGCATTTATGTGTGACATTTTCCTGGTCCAATATGGAGAGATAACTCTGCAGAGCTATATGGAGTCATGCAGGATTCTTGCAAGGACCATCACCAGCATCAGGTCCAGGAGAAACCTGCAGGAAATAAAGGTTGCCTCTTTCCTTTACCAGCCGTCTTGATTAGATCAAAAGGTGGCACAGGGCAGGGCCATGACTTATCGTCAGGAAATTTCGAGAGACGGTTAAGAATTGCCCCTGCTGGTGCTCAAACTGCTGCCAGTTCTGGGCAGGGCAAACCCCTCTGGCCGCATTCAGAGGAGACGCCACTTCTTGGCTGCCAGAGATTGTGAGAAATACGTTTAAGTGATTTCTTCTGACTCTGGCTAAAGATTCTTCCCCCTGTTTTCGGATACACTTGCAGATCTTTGTTAATAAATTACATCAAATGATTTGAAGTTTGGAAGGAAGGATGCTTGGCCCCCTCCTTCTTAAAAAAAAATCTGAGTAAATAGTGCCCCTGGTATTGTAAAGCTTTGAATGTTTTCACACCCCATTAATTTATTACTTCTCCTTCATCTTTAAATTTCATTTTTTTTCCATAAAAAAAATTCCAGCTCCCTGCTGCTTGTGAGATTTCCATCTTGTTGTTAATTTTCTCTGCTCCATATGGAGCACCAGACATTTCACCTGGAGGCTGTACTAGATTTTCCTGTAGTGATCGCACTTCCGGAGGGCAGAGCTGTCATTTCGGGTTCCTTGTGCATCTGTCTCTGCCAGGCTTTCTTCCACTGGCACAAGAGTGTGTGAATAACAAATTGTGTGCACCTGAGATTGGTATGAGGGTGTGGGTGGCAGGTGGATCTCTGCAGTTTGCAAGTAGATTTTGTCCCAAGTTTGAGAAAATCGCACCTACCATGCAGCCT